TGCCTCCTGGCCAGGATGGCCCTCTTCAGAGGAGACTCAACTATGAGCTTCCACCTGCTCCCCCAGTTCAAGTGAAGACCTTCTTACCCAGAGCTGGAGAAATTGCTCAGCAGTTAAGAGCACTTACTTTCTTGGAGAGGACCCAGGCTGGTTCCTGGAACCCATATGGCAGCTTACAATCCTCTGTAACTCCGGTTGCAGGGGAGCTAACACTCCCCTTCTTCTGGATAGGAAGTTTTTTTCCTTCTCCCTAGCCGCTTTTCTTTCCCTGAGGACATCGTCCCCCCCTTGTACCTGTGACTTCAGGGTGCAGGCAAGCCCCAAGCCTCATCACCCTGTATGGCAGTCAGCCAGAATGACTTCACTCTTCCTCTGTTTCTGTCAAGACTCCTTGCTTAGTGTTTTCTGCTCTAGAATCAGTAATCAGTATGCGGTGGTTCCCTCCTGATTTTGTTTTGTTTTTCGAGACAGGGTTTCTTTCTTTGTGTAGCCTTGGCTGTCCTGGAACTCGCTCTGTAGACCAAGCTAGCCTCGAACTCACAGAGTCATAGAGATCTGCCTCCCAAGTGTTGGGATTCAAGGCACGCGCCACTGCCTCTTTTTATTTATTTGTTTGTTCGTTTATTTATTGTTTCTCGAGACAGGGTTTCTTAGTAGCTATAGAGCCAGTCCTGGAACTCACTTCTATACACCAGGCTGGCTTCGAACTCACAGAGATCCTCCTGCCTCTGCCTCCTTAATGCTGGGACTAAAGGTGTGCATTGCCACCACTGGCTCCCCTCCCTGTCTTAAGAATATGACAATGTGGTGGTAAGAGCCTCAGTCTTCAGGTTATATCAGTACATAGGCTATAAACTCCCAGGCCCACTCAGGCCAGATGCTGGGTTGGCAGAGGGGCCTAAATCAGTCATACCTAAAAAGACCATGTACCACCAAAGCCTCCCTGAGGGCTAGGGCTCTGCATAACAGGCAGTCCCCATAACCTCTCACCCTATTCCCTCAGCAAGGCCCTCCTGTGGCCATTATCACAGCCCAGATGCTAGGTCTCCAGCCAAGACAGCCAGTTCTCTCCAAGCAGCCTGGCTGTGCTACCTGACATGATCTAGAAGGACACTCACCCAGGCCTAAACCTGACTCATATGTCTCGTCTCCATTCCCCAGAGAGCACACCACACACACACACACACACACACACACACACACACCCTTAACTTGGCACTAGTAAAGCATGTAACTCCCTCCTCCTATCCAGGGTCCAGCTCAGAAAGTTCTGAGCCATGCTTTCCTCCCTCTGGTCTGCCCCTAACTCCTACCCTCACAGCTGCCCGTCTTGAGGCACTGCTGCCTCACCACCAACCACTGGGGAGGGTTCAGAGAGTGCTGGCAGCCTGGACAATGAGTCACCCCCACCTGACAAACCTGTCCCGCCTCACCACCCCCACATGTCTAGCAGGGCTTTTCTGAACTCCCTTCTATCTGTGGAGCTGAGGTTCTCCAAAAGGGGCAGTAGACAACTTCCAGTCAGGGCTAATGATGTAGCTTACTTGGTAGAGCGCTTGCCCTAGCATGTGTGAAGCCCTGGGTTCAATCCTGAGCACTGTGTGCGAGTGCTGGATGCCTATAATGCCAGCACTTGGGAGGTAGAGACAGGAGGCTCACAAGTTCAAAGTCTGAACTGGTGAGACAGCTGATTGGGTTAAGGCTAAACTGGATCCATAGGACCACGTGGTGGAAGGAAAAAACAATCACCCCAGAAAACATTGTTCTCTGAATTCCACAGATGTGCCATGTCCCGTGCATGCTCAAACACACAGGCGCACACACAAAACAAATAGACTGATAATAATTTAACAAAGTTTGCCAGGCATGGTGGCAAACCTTTAATTCCAAAACTCAGGGGGTAAAGGCAGGTGGATCTCCCTGAGTTCCAGGCCAGTCCGGGGTATATAGCAAGTTCTAGCCTAGGGCAGCCATCCAGGGTTGCATGTTGAGACCCTATCTTAAAAAAAAAAAAAAAAAAAAAAAAAAAAAAGAAAGAAAGAAAAGAAAAAGTAAGATAGAAGGAGTTCCCTCAGAGGCTAGCCTGGGCTACATGAGACTCTGTCAAGAAAAGAAAGAAAAAAGGTTGGAGGGGGGATTAGTCCCATCCAGGGCTGAGGATGGGGCTCTGTGGGAAAGAGAGAAAGAGTTTGCCTCGTTCGGGTTTGATCCTTAGTTAAAAAAAAAAAAAAAAGATAGAAAAAGGAGAGAGAGAGAGAAACAAAAAAATCCTTCCTGAGTTGTTGTAGGGAGCCAAACAGCAGAATGAGGTCTGAGCTTAGAGAGGAAGGCTCCCTTGAGTCCAGTTGTGCAACACTGGGCAAGTTCCTACCCTTCCCTGACTTTCCAAGGACAGAATTAACTGCACCTGCCTATAAGGCAAGCATGATCAGTAGGAATGGTAGCAAAAGGCCTTGCAAGGTACCATATAGTCTTCTGGCTTTGAGTTACCATCAATCAAGGTTTATTATTCCTGTTTGCCAAATAGGTTGCTGAACCTCAGTGAGGCAAGGTGCTTTTGACCCAAACTACATAGGTAGCAGGAGTCTGCTGAGACACAAGCTAGCTCCTTCCAAGCCCACACACCCCCCAGTATCCAGAGACTGCCCCATTAGACTATCTCTCTTGATCACTGTTCTTCTGTGGACCAGCCAAATGTGTCACCTTGTTCTAAAGTAGTTCTTCATGAGGACAGGCCTTCCTCTCATGAGCAATGGCCTGCGGGCCCCCAGGAAGGGAAACAGTCAAGGGTCAACCAGGCTCCGCATGACCTTCCATTCCCACAGGCTGCATTCTCCAAGCTCAACCCTAGCAGGCCAGCCGGCGGCTCCAGAGGGAGGGAATGGGGTGGAGCCAGGGTGCGGGGGAGGCTCCTGTCACCCAAGCCCAGACTTGATCTGGCAAGAAATGACTAATTGGATCCTACCTTGGCTTCCCCTCCCTCCTGTCCAGTCAGAAGCCAGCTTGGGCCGGGCACCTCCTAGCCATACTTCCTCACTATTGTCTTTTCATCACAGACACAAATCAGATTAGCTAAACTAATCATTTAGCTCATATAATTACAATGCCTTCCCCCTCCTCCACCTTGGCACAGAGAGGAGGAAAGACAGGTTGCCTGGGCCTAAACTTATGCCCCTGGTGCTTCCTAGAGGTGGTCACACATACTTTACCATCCACAGGACAGGACGGAGGGTGACCCCCACTTAAGGGTCCAGGGGGAGAGTCTGATCTCCACCCCAACTCTCCCATCCACAACCAAGTATGGAGACTTCCCAGGCGAGTCAGAGGAAGAGGCACTGATGGTCCTGGCCCCATCTTCCCTCTGCCCCAGGCTAGCCCTGGCATTCTTGCTCTATCCCCCAAGTAGAAGTTCACGATTCCAGCCGGAGAGGAGCTCTCAGCACGCCAGGGACAAGGGGAGGGTGCTCACACGGTTCCGCCTGAGGGTGCCTGGCTTAGAAGAAGCCTTCCACAGTAAAGACTTCCTCCTGCCCCACTTTCCCCGCCAAACACTCAGGAAAAGGGTGGGTGGAGAAGGGACTTCTGGCAAATCCTCTGCACCTTCATAATTTAGAAACCCAGCGAACCGGCAAGCAACATTCCTGCCCTATGCACTCCTGCCTCAGTTGTCAGCCAGCTAAATAAAATGGGGAATGGAATGGGGGATGAGGTAAAACTAATCACTCTGCCGGTCTTCCTCCGTTTGGCCCAGCCCTGCCTTGCCCCACCCCCGCCCCTGGGGAAGGGGCAGAGCTTGGGAGGGACTTAGCAGGCCTCATATAAGGGGGTGTGGTGGTCCCCGGAGGAGGTGGAAGGGGAGGAAGAAGACACTTCCCCTTTCAGCACCCCCCTCACACACACCGGTTGGTCTTAGGGGCCTAGCAAACAGGATGGAGGTGGGGGCAGGGACAACAGGGTCAAAGCGCAGGCACCGGCCCATGTTCAGCCTGGAGCTGGGCTCTGGGAAGGGGCTTTCCTCCCAGAAGCATCCCTAAGCCTGGAATCAGCTCTGAGCAAGGAGACTGGAAAACCCTAGAGAAGGCTACCATGGCTACTTTCTCCTGGAAAGTTTGTTTGGAGTGATTTCTCAACAATTAATGGGTTGCAGAAAGAAAAAAGGTATCGCTGTTTTCCTATCAACACTCTGAAAAACACAGCTACTGAAAACTGGGCGAACGCTTCTTAATTCTCTCTGCTAGTCCAGACTCCAGGCCGAGCCACCAGTGTCTTGACATCGGTAGGGCACTGAGCCCAGACCCTTTACCAGTTCCTCTGTCACCCCCATCCCACCTCGATAGGAGAAAGCATAGACCCGCATATACTAGAGCGGAGGAAGGCGCCACAGGTACAGCTCAGAGCTGAAGGGCAGGGCCTTGATCCTCCAAGCGCTCACCTGCTCTGCTCAGCAGGTGGGGACCGCGACTCTGGGAAAATGTGCAGTCGGCCCCCACAGTTGGGTAAGCAGGGCCCAGACAATAGGGCCCCACCCAGGCCTGGGGGAGTTGGGAGGGAGAGAAAGCGAGGATGACGCGTGGGGTGGGGTGAGGGTGGCCCCAAAGAGACTAGCTAGCAAGTTTCCCGAGCGGTAAAATCCTGTCACCCTGAGCTCCATAACCAGGCGGAGCGGGTCAAAGTCTGCCCGGTCAGCTCGGGCCAGAGTCAGGGACACAGTGTCCGGCAAGCTCCGCGAGTCCCGGGGGAGGCGCGAACTCCGAGGCACCTGCCCTATTTCCTCCCCGCCCTTCTCAGACCTGCAGTTCAGGGAACCTGGAGGGACGCTCCAACCCGGATCGCTCGTCCCAAGGGTAAAATGCCCAGGACCCTAGTGCGCCCCCTGTCGCCGGTGCAAGGTGCGCTCCCCGACACCCGCCCTCACCTGCCCTGAGACTGCAGGAACCAGCCTCTGGGCCGCCTGCTGTCCCTTCTGTGTCCGCAGTGATATGCAAACCGATCGGATGTACCTGAGCGTGGAGCCGGGCCGGGCCGGGTCGGGTCAGGGCTGGGCCGGGAGGGAGCCGGCGCGGGTAGCGAACTGAGCTCGGCGCGCTCGGGCGGCGGCTGCTCCGGACTCTGGCCAAGGCAGCAACTCAGTAACCGAACAAAAGGCAAAGGGACCTGACAGCCAAGCCACACCTCTCGCCCCCTCTAAGCTCCGCCCCTTAGGGAGACTCCCACCCGCTGAGGCTAGCTCACTGGCTGCCCCGCCTGACTATCCTATCGAGGGGCGGAGCCTCGCGCCCGGACCTTTACCACGGCCGCCTCTGTTTATGCGTTTACCATTGGCCCCAGGGACTGCCAGTCGGCTCTGGGGTGGACGCCAACTTGAGGTCTCATCCTCACTCTGCATCTATTGGCAAATAGAAAGTTTCTTCCTTATGATTGGATAGGGGGCTGTCAGTAAGACTAAGGAAAAAGCCAATGGAACAGGTGGGGCGTGTCTCGCCCCACCCTAGCCCTGAGCAGGTAAGACTCGTTACTCTCCCCTTCCCCCTACCTGTTCAACAGGTGAGTCAGGGGGCGGCATGGGAAAGGACTGACGCCTTCACTGGCCAGCCAACTCAGCGTCAGGCTTATTCATTCTTGCCTCAACGTAGTAATAAGATGTTTGTAAAGCATTTCATAGGCTTTATGCTAGGTTGGGATTCCTCCCCCTTACAAAAGATAGAGTGTTCCTTCTATTTAGAATTAGAAGGCTCGGGTTTGGGTTCTCACCTTAATCTTTGTATGACCTCAGGCCAATTAGTTTACCTTTCACCCTGTTTCTCCTCATCTGTGAAGTGGGTTCATTAGCTTTATCTATCTTAGGTTGGAGAGATTAAATGAAGTGCTTAAATATGGTGGTACTAAAATAGCTGAGGATTTAAACCACTGATATGGTCAGTTTGAGACAGTTCTTAAAAACTGTTAAGAGGGCAATGGTGGTGCACGCCTTTAACCCCAGCACTCAGGAGGCAGAAGCAGATGGATCTCTGGGTATTCAAGGCCAGCCTGGTCTACAGAGCTAGTTACAGGATAGGCTCCAAAGCTACACAGAGAAACCCTGTTTTGAAAACAAATAAACAAACAAAAAAAAACTTGGAGCAATAAAATGATGTGCATTAACAGAATATTTTAAATGGGCTTGTGTGACAGCCCAGCTGCATAACCCTGATAACCTGAGTTTGATACATGGAGGAGGGAGACAATGAAGTCCACACAAATAAAAGTAAATAAAGTGTACTGCAATTTAAGAACTAATCTTCAAAGAGGTCACAGGACTAGGAAACATGATGCACTCCAAACTAGGATGCCTTCTTATTTCAAGTCCCTCAAAAATCCCAGAGAAATAGTTTGGTTCCCAAGTAGCAAAGCAGAAGGGTCAGTGTGTGTTTGTGGAGGGGAGGGGTAATAACTCTCCAGGGAGAAACAGACAAAAGAGCATCGATTCCATCAAAGATTAAATGGTGGTGTAAGGAAGCTTTGGGGAGGGGGGCGAAAAAGAGCAGCAAGCCCCTCGATAGTGGTTGAGGCTGGTTAGTTATCTGAAAGAACTCCAAATAGCCCACTTAAGAAGACATGGATATTTCCTATGGTTGATGAGATGAGTGTTGTGGCTGTACCACGAACCCAGGGTCCTATAGGCATTCGTTCATTCAATGCAAGTACTGAGCACCAACTGTATGCAAGGGACCAATTTAGACCCTGGCTGCACAGAAAATTAAAAGTATCCTAATTCTCAGAAAGCTTACAGAGTGACAAGAGTTATCAGCCTGTGTGGGTGGGAGTTGGGCAAGTGGCTGTTTAGAAAAGGATTTCCTGAACACACACACACACACACAGATGAGAGAGAGAGAGAGAGAGAGAGAGAGAGAGAGAGAGAGAGAGAGAGAGAGAGAGAGAGAGAGAGCTTATGGGCCAAAATAACATCAGATGAAGGTATCCTAACAGTATCTTTGACCACATTTCCCCATCAGGGAAAAGAATGAGGCTTAACTTGTTCTCTGTCCAACAAGTATTTGTGGAAGGGGCAGGAAGATAGCAACATCCCAGATCTAGTTGTAGCTACGAATGCCAGGTTGCCAGGTTGCCAGGACCACTCCCCTCTGCTGCATCCCTGACTCCCACCCACTCCAGTTTACCTGAGGATCTTTATCTCTACCTAATCCTGCCCCCACCTGCCTCCTTGCCGCCTTCCACGTAAAGCAGAGCTCAAGAGCTCAAGAAGAACTCAGCATCTCAAACTGCTGCCTCTGCCAGGGTTCCACCCCCCCACCCCCCCACCCAGTCTTCCCACCCAGTCACACAAAACTTCTAAACCCCTTGCAGGTTTCACTGTCGCCTTCCTCCCACACTTCAGCCAACCGGCAGCAGGGGAGGGCTGTGGAGAAGGCTGTGGTAGCCTAGGTGGGATTGAGGGGAGGCATTGGGGCTTCTGAATAAGCTCTGTGTATCCCCAGAATGCAGCCCTGCATGCCTTAGTAAGCAACAAGCCACAGCACGTCTTTGAGGCCAAAGCTAAGCTCCCGGGTGGAGGCTCCAGGGTGGAAAGCCGCGCCAGCTCCTCCCAGATGGATGGATTTCCTGTGTGTTTCCTAATCTCCTACTATGTGCCTGCCAAGCACTGGGGCTTCATCTGCATCTGAGGATACAGAAAGGAATCAGAAAACCATCTTTCCTGGAACCAGCCATCTGCATCTGTGTAAGGGATTTGGTTTCCTGGTGGAGGAGGTACTTAGGAATAGAGCTGAGCGCCACTGTGGCCATGGCCTCCTTTGCAGCTTGAACTTGAAGGAGAGGCCACAAGGCCATCTTACCCAATCTTCAGCTTCCCAGCCTTTAAAGGCAAGAATTTGACAAATCTCCAAAAAAGGGAAATTCTCCAGTCTCCGTTATAGCAAAGGCCCTTGTCTCCTTTTTCTGACAGTGGTGCGTTTCTTCTGATGTCTAGCTTCAACTCATACCCCTGCAGTTTAACCTCATTTCTCTTGCCTGGAGCTCAGTAGGAGCAAAAGCCTTGGGCCACCAAGACATATTTGATTAACTCAACCTGCAGCTTTTCAGAGCCCAAGAGTCGGGAGTAATAGGGCACCAACCAGCCCATCCCAAGCTCCCCAGAGACTGAAGCCAACGATAAAGAGGAGGAACTGTGCACTGCAGAACCTCAAGACAAAGGTGAACATTAATCAGACAGTATCCAGAACAGCCAGGCCACCTCCCCAGCTTATGTCATTTCTTCCTCATGTTCCATAGGCCTCTGGGCCATATAAGGAGGCAGGAGAGTTTCTGTTCTTTCCTCTTCTCGTTTTTTTCATAATTATTATGGTAGTACACATGATGGGTGGGTGTGTCAGAGCATGCCCTGGAAGGACAGAAGACAACTTTGTGGAGTTGGTTTCACAATTCCTGTCATTTTTATGTGGGTTCTGAGGATTCAACTCAGGTTGTCAGACTGTATGGAAAGCCCCTTTATCCACTGAGCCATCTCACCAGCCTGAGTTTCCCTTCTTCATCTGAACTTCATCCTTATGCTGTGGAGAAAGAGCCTCCTGATGGATGGCTATCATTTGGACCTAATACACACAAGTGCATGCTCTCTCTTTCTCTCACACACATACACACACACAAACACAGCCATGCACACACACTCATGTACATACACAGACACCATCTCTTCATCCTCAGGTGGCCTAAGAGATGGCCACTTATGGAAAGGATAATGCAAGCTTACCTTTGAATCGTGCAGAGAACCAGATATCAACAGCTGAAATTTTTCTGGGCAGATCTGAATCAAAGGCAGTGTTTTAAAATCTAAAGACAGCATGGGCTCATTTGTCAACCCGGGTGCAAAACCAGCCTTAAGCCTAGGGAAGAGGCCTTCTGTCCTGGGTCCTACCCTTTAAAAGCTCCGATTTTTCATCCCCATCCTCGCCTTCCTGGAGTTATGATTCTCCATCTAGAGCCACGGAGTAGAGAAGGCTGCACAGAACTCACACCCTTTCTAGACCAGGTACCAGGAAACCCGGCATTCCCTGTCCAGCATGAATGGACTCTGCTTCTAAGTCTATGAACCTTTCAAGATGTCTTTTGTCCTGAAGGTCCTGGCACTTGTGGGTGGTAAGCCAAAGAAATTACAAGTTCAGTTGTTAGGCAAGGTGGAAGGAAGGATGTGTGTCCCCACGCATGTGTGGGGCTGGAGGCAGTTTTGTGTTGTGGCCAAAGACAGGGGGAAAGGTAGATGTCCCAGGGGCTGGAGACAGTTCTCCCTGGGGCTATCATGTTCTGACAGAGGGAGTATTCTAAAGTCCTTCCTGGCCCCTGGTGGCCATTGTGGGGCTCTCTTGTGCTGGACTGCTCATTTAACATATTGCTCACTTGCTGGGAAACTCAATCGATCTGAGAGCCTCTCTGGCCGGTGATGACGGAAGTGGGTGGGGCATGACCCCTTCAGGGCTAGACAGGGACACTGGCTGCCGGAGACTTTGGAAGTCTCTGAACTCCAGCCGGTGCTGGAGCGGTCTGGAGGTGGGGTGGGAGCACTCCTGCCATCTTAGTGGCACTTCGTTCTGGGGAGCAGCCTTGAGGCCAGATGCTGCTGCCCGCAGCTAGTCCTGTGGGTGTGCTCCCAGCCAAGGCAGGCTCCTAATTACAGAGGTAGCTCCAGCGACAGACATGACACTTCACAGCAAGGCATGTGGGCGGGATGGAATGCCAAAAAGAAAACAGGGAGACAAGAAAACAGAGATAGGGGAAACAGAAATAGTTCCGGCCAGGGCCAGATACCAGAGGTGGGGGAAGGGGATCCCAGAGGAGCTCTGGACCTCTTTGGAGAATGTCTGTCCTGGGCTGTCCCCCCTTCCCCAGGCCAACCCTTCCAACCATGAAGTCCTAGGACAGCTGCTCTCCTTTAGCCCCAACCCCCACCCGGAAAGTCTCAGAACAGGCTTGTGGCATGGGTGTGCTCTGAAGTGGGGCTTGTGAGAGCTCCTGAGCAACTGCCAGCAGGTCCCAGTCAAGTAGTTTTTGGGGGAAGGGAGGGACCAGTGAGACATTGCCACCTGAGTCACCCAGCTTCCTGCTCCTGGCTTGGGCGACTCCATGAGCAGACTGACACAGCTCCACCTGCCCTGCCAGCTTGCCTGCCCCTCCCTC